GAATAAAAACAAGAGATATGTGACGCGATTTACTTTCTCTAATTTATCATATCATCATCATCATCAATGCCTTTCACCCCTGGCAGGGTATAGGCCACATACAAGCTCCTTCCATTTATCTCTGTCCTGAGCCATCCTTCCAAGCTCGTTCCAAGTGAGCTTCATTTCTCTCATGTCCCTTTCCACGCATCTCCTCCATTTTTCCCGTGGCTTACCCCTGCCTCGTGCTCCTGGTGGGTTCCACTGCAGTGACTGTCTTGTGATGTTTCCGCTGGGCTTTCTTAAGGTGTGTCCCATCCATCGCCACTTTCTTAGTCCTATTTCTACTTCTATATCCTTGTGTCCTGTCCTTTCACACAGTTCTTCATTTCTTATTCTATCCTGCCACTTAATTCTTAGAATACTCCTCATACATCTGTTGATGAATGTCTGGAAATTTATCATAAATTTTGCGGTAATTTAATTCTTAATTCATGATTGCATCAATTTGGATTATTTTAGAGTCTGTAAAGAAACCCCAAACGATACTTTAAATAATGAGTATTTCCCACCAACGGATCTGCTTGGATGTAAGTGGCAACAGGTTGTGAGCTGAAATGTACGAGACATCATTTAGAACTTATTATAACTTTTTCTTTTCACTATGCCGTTACATTTTAAATTTTGATTCAAGAGAGTCAGTTATCCGTGCTGCCGTTAATATATCTCCAGACTCTCTCATTTCACTTCATTTAGCAATGTTTTTAATGAACAGATCAACCTCCCCTATCTTCCCCTCCTCCCCCCCCCATCTCTCTCTCTCTCTCTCTCTCTCTCTCTCTCTCTCTCTCTCTCTGTCTGTCTCTCTCAATCTCTCTCTCTTTTTCTGTCACTCTTTTCTCCCTTTACCCATCTTTCTGACTGCTCTGACTGCTCTCTCTCTCTCTCTCTCTCTCTCTCTCTCTCTCTCTCTCTCTCTCTCTCTCTTTCTTCTCCAGGTTCCCCTTGATCTCTTACCCTGTGGATTCCAATCCAAAGGTTTCTTTGTTATGCAGCTGTCTGACTTCCTGAGAGTATGTCCAATCCATCGCCACCACCTTCTTCCTACCTCATGTCTGACTGGGATCTGTCTTGTTTTCCTTAACACTTCCTCGTTGGTGACCCTATCTGTCCATCTGGTCCTCAGTAACTTCCTTAGACACTTGTTCAAGAAAACCTGGATCCCTTTTATGCAAATCTGTGATGCGTTCTATGTCTCACATCCATACAACAGGATTGACTTCATATTTGAATTGAAAATCCTCAACTTTGTTCGGAGTGAGATATCTCTGGTCTTCCAAATCCTATCCAAAGATATAAAAGCAGCCCGAGCTTTTCCAATGCGGGACTTCATTTCAGCACCTGTTCCTCCCTCTCTGTCAATTAAACTCCCAAGATAAAAGGATTTAACGTCTTCTAGTGCATTTCCTCCTATTGTGACCTGCTCCTTTTGTTGCGCATCTGTCCTTAGGACCTTTGGACTTTCCTGTGTGGATCCTCAATCCAACAGACTCCGATAGGCTGTTTAATACTGAAGTCTTTGCTTGCATCTGTTACTGGGTGCGCGACAGAAGCGCCAAGTCATCATCAAAATCCAGATCGCCCAACAGTGTCCATGGTGTCCACTGTATACCATTTTTATGTCCTCTGGTGGTTTCCTTAATCAGCCAGTCGACTGCCAATAAGAAGAGAAAATGCGACAGTTAACTTCCCTGTCTCACACCCGTCTTGATGTCAAAGCTGTCAGTGAGCTGGCCATCATGTACAACCCTGCAACTTGGCCCTTCGTACATGCTCTTGATGAGGTTCACTAACTTCTGTGGGATTCCGTGGTGTCTAATTATATTCCATAGTGTTGCTCGGTATATACAGTCAAAGTCAAAGGCCTTCTCATAGTCAAGGAAGGTGACGATCAGCTGGGAGTTCCATTCCAGGGACTGTTCCACAATAATCCTCAGCGTAGCAATCTGGTCGATGGTTGAGCGATTTTTCCGGAAACCAGCCTGTTCATCCCGTAGTCTTGGACCTGTTGCTGTCTTGATTCTCTCCAGAATGATTCTGTTGAAGACCTTACCTGGTATTGAGAGAAGAAGGATCCCTTTGTAGTTACTGCAGTTGCTGAGATCCCCCTTTTTTGGAAGCTTCACGAGGTGTACTTCTTTCCAATCCTTTGGGAACTTGCTCTCATTCCAGCTCCTGATAAACAGTGGGAGGAGGGCGTTTGCGGTCACATTAGCTTCTGCTTTTAGGGCTTCAGGTGGAATTTGGTCAGGACCGGCCGCTTTACCTTTGTTCAGCTTCTTAATGGCATCCTGAATCTTTTGTTTTGAAGGAGCATCACAGCAGATTGGTAACGTATTTCTTGCTGGCAGGATTTTTGGCGGGTTACTCGGTGGTGGTCTGTTCAGAAGACTGTTGAAATGCTCTACCCATCGTTTCGACAGAGCTTCCTTTCCAAAAAGGATTTTCACCTCTGGGTCCTTTAATGGTACTTCAGATTTCTTGTATTTTACAGCAAGAGTCTCTGTGGTCTGGTAAAGGATTCGCATGTGCCCTCCTACCATTGCCTCCTCTGCCTTCTCTGCCAGCATGTTCGTGAATTCCTCCTTGTCTTTTCTTAGTGATTTCTTGATATCCTGAGTTGTTGTCCTGTGCTGCTCCAATACATCCGCTCTTGACCCTCTTATTCTACTTGCATTCGCTTTTGCCTTCAGTAATGTTCTTATCCCAGTTAAATCCAATGAGTGTTGGCTAATCCATTCCTTGTGCTCCCATTTCTTCTCACAGAGTACTTTTTGACATGTTGATGTAAAGACTTCTTTGACCTTGGTCCAGTGTGTATCCACCTCTGTGTCCTCTCCACCAAGATCAGCCAAAGGTTGAAATCTGTTCCTGAGCTGCAGCTGAAACTCTTCTTTCTTGTGTCGTCCAAAAGACTTACTAGGAACTCCGTTCTTTTGATTCCTGTGCTGGTTCCGTGTTTTTTTAGTCGAAGCTTGAGTTTTGCTAACAGCAGATGATGATCCGTTCCAACATCTGCCCTTCTCTATACTTTGACATCTTTCAGTGAACACCTGAACTTACGAGAGATATAAAAATGATCTATCTGGTTCTCCCTCACTCCATGTGGCGAAACCCATGTAGCCTTGTGAATCCTCTTTTGAGATATTTGCAAACTGCTCACCGTTTATATTCATTTGTCTCAAGCCATGTTGTCACATAATTCTTTTATACCCGACGTTGTCCTGACCAATCTTGGCATTGACATCTCCCATTATGATGCTGACATCCTTCCTTGGTAGTTTGCCAATGAGCCCCTGGAGCCGGCTGTAAAAGGCATCCTTGTCTACATCCAAAGCATCATTTGTTGGGGCGTAGATCTGGACTATATTCATGTTGATGCTCTTGCTCCTTGTAGTGAAAGAAGCCATGATGATCCTCTCCCCGTGTGGTTTCCATCCTCCAAGTGACTTCTGTGCATACTTACTCAAAATGATTCCCACTCCTTCTGCATGGTGCTTGTCTTCCCTCCCAGAATAGAATACTTGTTCCCCTCAGCTGAACTGCTTCTGTCCAGACTGTATCCAGTGTGTTTCGTTGACTCCTAGTATGTGCAGCCTGTATCTCGTCACCTCTTGCACTACTTGAGAACTCTTTCCTGCTTCATACAAAGTTCGAACATTCCACGACGCAATCCGGAGAGACTTGTTCAAAAGAGAAGGTTTCTGGTCAGGAGAGTCCTTTCGGCTTTGTCCGTTGTCCTTCATTATTCCTGCAAGGCAGAAGCTCCTCCGTTTCCAAAGATAGAAAAATAAGCCGTGTTTGTCCCTGTTTCTGTAAATGCCTGTTTTGTTTTACACTGTCTATTTTCACACTTTTTGTTCTCATCAAAGAATGGAATTTGAGACTGATTGGTAGACGATGTTCGAGTTATTTCCACACGGAAAGAGAAAATGGATTTCCTGTACGAGAAAAAAAACGCCTAGCACATTTTTCCAAACTGAAAACAACAAAAAAGTAAAAATTGTCTTCTCTGAAATCCCACTTGTTTCCCAAGGAACGTTTTTAAACATTACTGGAAAAGACGAACTATTTCAAGGCAAATCTGAAAAAAAAACCGAACTCAAACTCAAAATATTCATATTGTTGACACGCTGCTTAGAATTAGTTGAAAAAAAATAGAACTCCAAATGTATCCAGTTTCGTGGAACAGTAGAGCTGAGCCCAAATAAATTAGATATTACTGCTTTGACCTGATTTATTTCTGTGAAAGTTTGTCGGTAATCTACTGATTTCCACTTTTGTCGCCGTGTATCGCTTCTCGCCAACAAAGACGATTGACCAAGTTTCACCAAAACCAGCACTTTCATGGTTTTAGAAACACCGTCTTCTTGAATTTCAGTTCAACAATTGAACAAAAGGAGACTGAAACGCTTTTATTTCTTTTAAAAAAAATTCTATTCTTTATATTTTTTGGTGGTTGGGTAAGCTTTCAGAAAATATCTGGACGTTCACAGTCGGTAGACTGCTTGCATAAGACTAGTCAAATTAAATAGTTAAAATCAGAACCAGAAGATGAAGCAGACATTGGGGAAGGGGGGGTGGATGGGGGGAGGGGGGCGTTACACCCCCCCCCCCCCACCAGCAAATGCAAAACAACAGCAAAGGCCAAATAAATAAATAAATAAATAAAAAACAAACTTAAGAAAGACGCCTTGCAAAAGATTCTCAGATGACTCGGAGCCAGTTAAGATCATAATGTTAAGTCATCAAATCGAGTAGACTTGGCGGCCCACCTTTAACACTTTAACACTTACCTCCCTATAATGTTAAGTCATCAAATCGAGTAGACTTGGCGACCCACCTTTATCACTTTAACACTTATCTCCCTATATTGTTCTTTGTTAATAGATGTATTGCATTTAGTCCTCCTACGGTACATAATCTCACTCGTGAGAAGAGATAAGATTGTTGCTACTCACCTGCGAGGATGTGGCATAGGCTGTAGAGCAGTCCACTGGGAGGTATTAGGGTCAAATCTCTCTACCGTAGACAACCGCACAGAACTGTCAGACCCATCAAAGCCACCCACTGCATACAGACAGCCACCATAGGCCACCAGGCCCAAACCACTTCGGCCTTGAGACATGCTGGTCACCGCTGACCACTGGTCTGTGTGCGGATCGTAGATCTCAACAGCGCGGATACATTCCATGCCGTTAAAGCCCCCACACACGTACATTTTGTCTGAAACAGATACGATGTCTTTGTTCTGACTGGGCAGTGTATAATACATTTTTTAAAAGAAAGAAAGAAAGAAAGAAAGAATGAAAGAAAGAATGAAATAAATAAATACATAAATGAATAAATAATTAAACACCCACACACACACTCTCTCTCTCTCTCTCTCTCTCTCTCTCTCTCTCTCTCCCTCTCTCTCTCGCTCTCTCTCTCTCTCTCTCTCTCTCTCTCTCTCTCTCTCTCTCTCTCTCTCCCCCCCCACACACACACACTAACACACTCGCACACATATATTGTACATATGTATATATATATATATATATATATATACATATATACTAGCTGAGTACCCCGTTCGATGAACGGACTCAAAAGAATCGATCGTCAAGTCGTTGTGGGATAAGTGCGCACTCCTTGTGAACGGAAGCCTCATTTGTTCACAATGACGTCTAAGAAGACGGACTTTCCCAAGATTACATCTAAAACGGAACTAATGAAAAACTGAAAATTAAACTACAGTGATTTCAGACTCCTCAGTAAGACTGTGCACCCTTTAAATGCTCCTGAATCACCGTTATTTTTTTTCAAATTCGAAAGTTAAGTTGTTCCGAAGTTTCAGGCTGCCAAAATGACGACCTTTCACGAATATAATATACTAGCTGGCCCCCCTTTCGATGAAAGGAAAAAGATAGGTGCATTAACATCAACCGAAAGTCATTGGCCTACTATATCTACTCTCTACAGGAATGGAGCAATGAATCTGCAGAGATGCAAAAAATTAGGTCCAAGTCTATATTCTCAAACAAAAATGCGCCTCGTGAAATATTTCTTCCGGCACTTCCGCTATGAAGGACAGCTACGCAGATTTGTTTAGTTTCTCAGTGGAATAATCACAAAGGCCAAAGAAGGACGGGGACTTTTTTTTACCAAATATGTTATTTTATATTCGGGAAATGAATAAAAAAAAATTGGGCTCTGTCACTGGGATCTATCTTTCTTTTTGCAGGTACTTGCCATCTTTCAACTCTGTAGCTATCGTAGTTTTATGGGAAAACACATGTGTTTCCAAGTTGCCAAATATATAATAGATGTATAAATTGATTCTCTATTCCGCTCTCGTGGTTGTACACTCCAGAATGTCAAAGGTGTGGAAACAGTGCGCACTGCTAGTGAACGGAAACCTCACTTGTTTACAAAGGCGTCTTAGAAGACGGACTTTCCCAAGGTTAGATCTGAACAAAACTAATGAAACTGAACATTAAATACAGAGACTTCAGGCTCCTCGAAAAAACTGTGCACCCTTTAAACGATTCTGAACTGAAAGTTAATTAATGGTTCGGAAGTTTTAGACGGCCAAAGTGACGAACTTTCATCAATATATATATATATATATATATATATATATATATATATATATATATATAGCTGGGCCCCCTTCCGATGAAAGGAATGATCGGTGCATTAACGTCAGTCGAAAGTCACTGGCTTATGATATTTACACTCAACTGGAATGGAGCAATGAATCTTGAGAGATGCAAAAATTAGAAGGTTTAGAAGTATATTCTCAAAACAGTGCTCACTGTTAGTGAACGGAAACCTCCTTTTCTAAATTTACAGAGACAGAAGCGTCGGCCTTCAAAACCGATCGGCGAAATAAAGAAATTTAGCTTTTTGCGGCAAAACAGTCTCAAAACTGAAAAAACAACAACCGAAGAGCGTCATGATCTGGAGAATATTTTAACGAATGTTTTGGCGGAAACTGCATATCGATCGATGCAGCCATTAAAAAGCCTTTTGAATAGAAAATGTGGCCACCATACACATATATATTTTTATATATATATATATATATATATATATATATATATATATATATATATATATATATATATGTATATATATATATACATACACACATATATTTTTTATATTATATTATGTATATATGTAATATAAATGTATACTGTATAATATATATATAATATACAGACACACACAATGAGTACGTGATTATAGGGTATGTGGCAGGCGCGGTTCGTCCATAGAGCACGGTCGTGCAGTGCCGCCCAAAATTTTTGAATGCTCTATTACGTAAAACACCCACAATAATAAATTAAAAGAAGCCAGAAACAAATACATGCCAAATATCATATCAAAACAAAGGTCCTTACTGGCGCCATAACTGTCATTTCTATGTCTATAGCGCCGTAAAACATCTACTATGCCATGCCGAAGTCCACGCGCTTTAGCTAAACAGAAAAAGATATTCAACAGTGTAACCTGACATATAAATCGCTCTTGGGGATAACCCAAGCGATGACGACACTCGTAGCGAGTTTGGCGGTACATTAATATTATTAAGCCGACACCTCTCAAATGTGCTCCTGCCGAATAGTGCCGAAACATAGCCCACAGTAGGCAGTCTAAAAATAAACACGATAGACCCTACGCTCTTCTTTGCCAGTATTATGTGAGCCCCGGAGCAATCCTGCGGAGTGCTCAAGTGAATTGTGATTGGTTCATTGTTTGTCTTGCCAATATTTTAAGTGACTCTTGAGCCGTGAACCTGAGGGAGGTGAACGTGACCGTTTTATGAGTTGTGCCTTTGAGTGGTTTTGTAGTGGAGTAGTGAAAGTTATTACATGTACTTGAGTGTTCAGTTCCAATACAGGAAGAACAAATTGATGTTTAGCTAACAAACAAATTTAGTACTAGAAATCAAAGCGACCAGTAAAAAGAATGAGAATAAAACCACGAGGCCCTCCCTCACCAACCCAAAGATCCTAAAATTATACACCGTCTCATTTATTATTCCTTTGACTATCTTCAGCATGCCATAGCTTAATCATTATTGTGCACGCCCACTTTTTAGCCCCACAAGTCGCCCCTGATATGTGTGTGTGTGTGTGTGTGTGTATGTGTGTGTGTGTGTGTGTGTGTATGTGTGTGTGTGTGTGTGTGTGTGTGTGTGTGTGTGTGTTAAAGAGAGAGAGAGAGAGAGAGAGAGAGAGAGAGAGAGAGAGAGAGAGAGAGAAAGAGAGAGATGCGATTAGAAACGTAAATCTATACTCCCTTGAGAAAGACGTTGAACCTATACAATATACAATTCCTGTAGCATTATATAAGCCAAAAAGAACAAATGACATACGTAACCTAATATTGACATGTTGTCATACAGTATCTTAGAAACAGAAAAAAGCCAAAGATACAGAAAACAATTTTACCTCAAAATTGCTATTTCACAACAGTGTGCTGACAGCGCTGTTAGCTTTTGAAAAAAGGAAGACAATGATCTTTTTATGGGGTCCACGTGTTTATTTCAAATGGACATGTGCACATGCTTATGCTTCTTCAGTTGTTGAAAAAAAACCCCAGTACTTCAAAAAGAAACAATAAAATAACGTAAATGATACAGGATCGTAAGTCATCCATTTTGAACACGACAATCTTGCAGGACCAAAACTCCCCTTCAGTAACCATTGGCACAGAGGACTAGACAACATTTTACGAAGAGTGGGTTTTCATTAGCATCCCATTTGTTTACGTTTGACGCAAGGGTGTCTCGTGATTAGAATCGACACTTTACTAATGATTTCTAGAAATTGACGAGGGACCAATTATCCTTTCCGTGAGGATCAGCTGCGGTTTGGATCAGCTGCAGTTTGGTAAAGATAGTACTGGAAGACTGTTAGCCTTTTTACCCCCAGTACAGGAAGACTGTTACTGTTAACGCTTTTTCCCGATTTCTGCTTCCTGGGTTGCGAGGTTTCGTGTTTCTATTGTATATCGCAGTGAATGTTTGTCGAGATCCAGTCTACAGTCTCGGTCCCTCTGGAGAACCTGTGTCACACCTCGAACTGGTCTACTCCATCTTGTTAAAATTAAAAACACTTCTCATCGTATAAAAAGTGGCGTCAGTTGAATCATGAATAGACACGTTGTAAAAAACAAAACAATACGAAAACAAAACAAAAATAAAATAAAGGACAAAAAGAAACAAAACGGATAAGGAAAGACATTCTATTTTGAATATAATATTTTTTCCTTCGGGCAGAGTCCCACAGAATATCTATCAATCTATTTATCCAGCCCGCTTTAGCATGTTCTCCTTCATAAATTTTCTTTTCTTTTCAACTCTTGCCTTCTGTACTTCCCCTGGTAAATTTCAGGGTAGTCGAACCTCTGGGTTTTCAACCTAGCCCAACAGCGTAACTAATTTTTTAAAAACGTATTTGACCGTTTTTCCTCTTTCGTGGGGCTCATTGGCAGCCACATTACGATTTTGAAGTACTCTGTGATTGTACGCTGACCTGAGTATTTTCAGATTTGGCAGGAATTAATTTTGATTTTTTTCTCAGGCGAAGCCTATTGCTATTGATTTTAAGACTCCCACGGGATCTGAAGCGAGCGTAAATTGTACACAAGACATCCGAGATGGTTTGTCCGTGTCCGAGACGGCGCAAGGTGTTCGATCTTACCATCCCTAAGACCACTGGCATGGCTGATAGACACCAGTAGGATCCACGAGTAGCACTAAAATGAGTCTTAAGTAAAGGAGAGAGGAGCCTTGAAGAGACCATAGTTGGGGGTGGGGGGAGAGGAGGAGGTTAACGCAGATGGCAAAACAGAATCAGAGAACTTGAAAGGAGGTGAGAGGAGAACATTTTAATAAAAATTATTTTTTCGTAGCTGCCAGATTTTGATTTAGGGACCTATTTGAACGAGAGGCAAATACAGTCACTTTAGACCACGAGACCCCC